AAACTTTTCACAAAACGAAACCAGGTGAAACTAAAACTTTTCCAATTGAGGAGTTCTGAATAGAACATAGTGACCGGCAAAAGTATATGTTTATCCTAAATCCAAAATATTTACATATTTCTATATAATCTTGTCATAATTACTGCTCTGAGTGGGTCACTCTGTCAGCTAAGGATATGTTTTAGAGTCTCTATACCCCAGTTAACGATTATTTGATTATTAAATTAGTTGAGTATTATTTCAATAACTGATTAATCCGATTAATTGTTTCAGTCTTAAATGAAACCAAACACCTTCACTAAAAATAGATAATGTCATTGATGCAGTAAATAATCTGCGGAGCAGTGGGGGACCCAAACTAGCTCTTCTCTGTAGGCAGATAAGCTCTAGAGGCTGACCCCCCCCACACTAGCGAGTTCAATCCACTTATTATTCAGGTAGTTAAGTAATTTAAACTTAAAAGTGTATAACCTGCAATTATGTAAAAAAATGAGGTACTGACAGTGTTTTCTAAATAAAGTCAGTGAAACGCTTTTTGCAGTTTACAATAAATGGAAAGATCAAATTCCAACTAAACATCTTTGCATTAATTCTCCATTATTTAATACCTACTTTTTATTTTTTTTAATTTCTATCTGCCTGTTCGCTCCAAAAGGTCAGATTATTCATGAAGTACTGCAGACGGATAAAACAGACTTCTGTTATTTTCTGTTTGCCTTTTTTCTTACCTTTAAAGTTCTGCTTGTTTCATAACAGACTTTCTCAAGTTTTTAAATAAAACTCTAATAATTCATGCCTGACAGAACAGCCTCTGTAGTTTCTGGGATATAATGAAGTCTTGTGTTGATCACATGACTCTGATAAACTCTACTAACCACCAGGAGATTTGGGTTTGATATGTTTTCATAATCCGTCATGTTTTCTACCAGAGGACTGACCTGAACTGGGATCAGAACCAGAATCAGTGGAAACAGTCAAACAAAAACTGTTTAACATTTCCTGGAATTAATTAATGACCAAAAGAACTAAACGCTTTCTGTTTGGGTAAGGGATGGGAGGAGGAGGGACCCTGATGGATCCGATACACCAGAGGTTGAAACGGGCAGGAATCCAGAGTCGTTCGGTTGTCTGCCATCTTGTAGGAGCCGACTGCTGAACGGCTGCGGCGTTTTAATGCGAAACATGATGGATCGGCACTCAAACACTAACAGGTTGTAATGGATTTGGTGGAAATGGTTTGTAAACTCTGTATGCAGCCTAATTCATCCAGATGAGAGATGAGGGAGCAGATATTTCCTGGAGCTGCAAAGACAAAACAACTGCGTGACGTTGAGGTTTGGGCCTGCAGGTCCACCTCTGCCAGCCAATAAGGAGCAGCTTTCAGGCTTTTGAGAGATTTTATCTGCAACATCTTCACTCTGGGCTCAACGCACGATGAACAAGGCCTGAAAACATGGCAGCATGGGGGGAGAAATGTCAGGTTTTCTAACCTCATGCCGGCTGGAAAAGCTTCAGCACAGATGGTGTTTATGCAGTAATTCAGAGCTGGCACTTTATCTGGGAGACAAACAAAAAAAACAACTTTGTTCTTTTGTGTCAGATTAGCAGAGGACGGGGGAGATAATCTGACCCACGGCTCACAAACTAAAACAAAGACTTTGTTGCATCCCTTTAAATTAGTTCTTGTTGAAGCTTCGCCTCCTAGGGATTAACAAAGACATCCGTTTGTTTTATTGGACAGAGAAAATAGTTAATAGTGGAATGTAAGACTCATTGATTCATCATCTTATAACAGTAATTATTACCAGACTCCAACAGCTGTCCTGTAAGTGTCCAAATGATCAATCCGGAGATAAGCGGAAAAAAATAAACACTTTCCTGAAAGCATCGCAGTAGTAGAGTGGAAGGCCATAAATTAAGCTCCCAGCTAATATCTTTATTTATAATAAAGCAATAAAAAGAACCGATAAGTTCAAGCATGGGTGAAAAAGGAGCTACTGTATTAAATACATCAGATCAGCTGCAGAGTGGAAACTCCGACTACCAGCAATATATGGAAACAGTTCAGCGACACTGTGAATGTCTGTCAGTGATCAAAGAGAAAGATAATGATCTACGGAGTGAAGTTTGAGCCATTATTGTTTCATGTTAAAAGAAACCAAAAAAAAAAAGCAATCTAGAAATAAAACTTTGAAAACTTTTATTCAACAAAAAAGTGTTTAAGAGAAGACAGAAGCTGGTTTCTCAGATTTTTTTATTTAAACTTTTTTACGAATACATTTTTCATACTTTTTTCCCTTTTTTAAAAATTTATTTTTCAAATTTGTATATTTCAGACACATTTTTACAGGGAGATGCATTTCTATTGGTCTGCGGGACGTTAGCAAAAACATTGTATAGGTCAGAAGGAGCGTTTCTATTGGCTGTCTGAACAAATAAAATAAAACTTATAAATTTTATAAAACTAGAACAGAAAAAAAAACATTTGAAAAATAAACTAAAAGAAAATCAGAGAAAAAAGCAAAGGTGCTTTTTATAGAAATAGTTTTTCAAAGTTTTATTTCCAGATATTTCATTTTAATTTTCTTTCTTTTCTTTGCTTTCAACAACAAGGGAAAACCATTTGCTCCGTAATAATCAATATTATGTGTATGAAGCTACAAACAGCCACAGCAAGTTGATTCTTTTTTTTTATGCCAAATATATTCTAGTGTTGGAGATAAAAACCCCTCCAGCACAGGTGGAGCATAAGAGCGGCTGTTTTTGGGCGACTTTTTTCCAGTATCTGCATGCGTCTCTGATTCATTAGTGCGTTCAGCAGCCACGTAATGCCGCTCCCTACATTGTTAATGTCGTGTTTGTTAATAATGGTTCCATTTAGGTAAATGGAGATCTATATGACATTGCTTTTTTTTTTTTTTTTTTTCTAACACAGTTTACGTTTGATCAGTGCTGCTCTTAAAGAAATGGAAATGTCATGAAAGCTGTAAAACAAAATGTTGTTTTTTAGACTTGGACTCAACTTTATTTATCCTTTGGGATTACGCCTTTAGGGAAGTTCTTGTCCCAGTAGTTTGGATAGAGTACAAAGAGTTAAACATTTAAAAAAGTAGTTGACTTGGATTATTGCACTTGTGCTACAGAGATGTACAGGTCAATACATCTCTGCAGCACAAGTATAAGCAAGTTTAAAAAGATACACAGGCTACACAGTAGTTGGCATGTGTTATTGCACAGTGAGAAAGAAGAATATTGCACATGAGTGACTATAGGTAATGTTTTGCATAAGATGTCCAAGGAGGAGGTGTATACATTTAGTCATTTTCTATAAACTCTGTGTAAAGAAAATGACAATAAAAGTTGTCTAAGTTGTTACTGTTCTGCCATTTTAAGACTAGATTTGGAAATAAACGGTATTGAGTTTATATTGGAACGGTAGAGAGGATATCCACTCCTCCCTCTCCCCCAAGCATTTCAGAAAGAAACACTAAGTAGGTCTGAACAAGCACTGCTGGAAATGTTGGGAAAAGAAAACTTGGTTTATATAAAATATCCTGACAGCAGCAGCATTACAAATTATTACGTTTCATTGGGATTATACTCCAAACAGATAAGGAAATAGCAATTTAACAGAAGTAAAGGAAATTGTTTAATTTAAACGGTAAAAACAAAAATACTTGGAATACTGCATCTAGCCACTCTGATTACTCTGATATCATAGTAAAATCTAGAGCAGCGGGTTAGCAGATGATCCAGCAGAAGCAAGCAGAACAGCCTGTGGGAACTCTGGGGGAGCTACATAAATAAACGGCTCAGGTAGGAGAAATCAGTCAACAGCTCTGAGCTGCAGACACTCTGAGCTGCAGACCCTCTCAGCTGCAGACCCTCTCAGCTGCAGACTCTCTCAGCTGCAGACTCTCGCAGCTGCAGACCCTCTGAGCTGCAGACCCTCTGAGCTGCAGACTCTCTCAGCTGCAGACTCTCGCAGCTGCAGACCCTCTGAGCTGCAGACCCTCTGAGCTGCAGACCCTCTGAGCTGCAGACTCTCTCAGCTGCAGACTCTCTCAGCTGCAGACCCTCTGAGCTGCAGACCCTCTGGGCTGCAGACCCTCTGGGCTGCAGACACCCTGAGCTGCAGACCCTCTGAGCTGCAGACCCTCTGAGCTGCAGACCCTCTGAGCTGCAGACTCTCTGAGCTGCAGACTCTCTGAGCTTATGAAACTTGTTCTTTTGATTAACTTCAAACCCAATCGAGAAAATCACTGTTGATGCTCACATTGACAGATATTACTACCAATAGAAATGCATTTTCAGTCCTCATTACAGTTACAATAGCCTCCAGAAGCAAAAGGATTATATGTTAAACAATAAAAAAAAGGCCAGTTTGTGAAAATGAAACTATAAAACCTTTAAAAAATAAAATTATTTGGAAAAAAAATGTATCTGAGAAAATAACAAAATTGGTTTCATCACCATTAAAACCATTTTTTTATTAAAACATTTTAAAGAATAATGGAACAAAATTCACCCTATACTGTTTATGATCCTGTAACGTGTTAAAAAGTTCCAATCAAGGCAAATAAAGCAGAAAAACAACCCAGCAAATAAAATGTCTGTGGTAAAGCTGAATGAAAAACATGAGAAATAAAGTGAGCTCTTCAGCTGCCAGGTTAGCTAACATCACACCGAGGCCTCCTGACTATTTATTCACGCATCAGTTTTCTCGCATTTTTCCTTGAGCTCCATTAGTTTCTGCTGTGGATGTCAGGCGGGTTACGACCTGAAAAAATGGTTATATCAACCTTGAAACCAGGACACCTGGAGCGCTGACAACAACCCGAGAGGCGTTCAGGAGCGCTGAAAATGTCAGGAAAAAGGGGAGTCGGTAACATTTAAACGGCTCTCAGCCTGAAGTTCCGCTCGCACCTCTGAAAGCGGAGGAAGCCGCTTGTGAAAAGGTGAACAGTGGAAAGCAGCGGCTGAAAGTGAAGCCTTCCTACCTGAAGAAGTGCGGCAGAAACACTTTAACCGCCGTCCGTCATTTTTTCCTCCTCTGAACTAAAACATTGAGCCGAGCTCAGCGAGCCGAACGCCTCCGATTGCATAACGAGCTTTAGTTTCCCTCCTTCCTCCCAAATGTTCCCAGAAAGTCTGGCTAACGTTCCCGCCGCTCCTCCCCGGTGCTCCGCAGACTAGCAGCGGGGTTCCTCCGCCGCTTCCCCCGGTACAGAGCTCCTCATCCCGGCTCTGGCGCGGCTGTAAACAGCAGCGGGATGACTGAGAGCAGAAAGTAGGTCAGCTGGGAGCTCAATACTCTGCTGGAAGGAGGAGAGGAGAGGAGAGGAGGGCAGGGAGCTGCAGGAACCAGGAGGACACATCCTCATCTTCTACATCCGAACCTAAACGGTCCAGCATAAAGAGGAGCTCCACAGAGAGCAGGATTCATTTAAACATCAATGAAACATTAGTTCTATCTGATTAGATTACTGCTGCATCACAGCAGAGGCGTAGCCAGAAACATTTATAAGGGTGCCCAGGCAATAACCAGTGTCCACTGAGGGGTGGCCAAAAATGGACAGACACCTTGGGGTCAATCTACACTGTTCCAACAGGGAAATTAACGAGCAAAACATCCATATTTTGTAAATAAAGACTAACTATAGTTTCCTACAGCCTTTGCTAACAAATATATATGGCATTCAATGAAAGACTTAAAACATCTAAATTTCAAGAAAAGAGTACCCTGCAAAAAGAAAAACTGAAAGTCAGTTTTTCTTAAAATAAGTGATTTTTTTTTTTCTTGAACTGAGCAGCTAAGTAACATACTTTGCAAATGGAATAAGAAAATTTACATTTAAAATAAAGAAAAAAATGCAGTTTCCTATTTGAAGTGCATAATATCAAATAATCAGATTTTAAGGATACAAATGCTCCTTCAACTGGGAGATTTTTCTTTTATTTACCTACTCAAATTAAGGGTAAATACACTTATTTAAAGACATTTTCACAAATGTCTTGATCATTTTTGTAGTGAGTTATTGGAATCCAGGACAAGACCCTATTACCTTTGTAATGCTCAAACAATATGTATATTGTGATGGCATAAATGAATGTCAATGTAATAACAAAAGTGCTTCTATAAGAAATTCATGAAAAACACAGTAAAAGAAATGGCACTCCATTTGTAAGGCAAGTGATCAAAAATGGTAACTTGCCCTATAAAGGGTTAAACATCTGTGCTTTCTAAATAAAAGGTATAGTGGATAAAATTCTTTCAGTTTTGAGTTCCGGGGCATTAATTTTTCCATTATCAATAAACATTCTGCATAAAATTGGTATTTGCAAGTACTAACATCTACATAAATTGATTATTTGATAAGTTATTTATGTATGATTTCACTGAAGACTCCTACATGACTTGCAGAGACACATATTCTCTTTACCCCATATAACACAAAATCTAGTTCTGAAAGAGCATGCATTCTGTACTTATCATCTTTGATGTTAGTATAGTGATGGTATAATTAATCACAAAAAATTAAAACATTTTTGAATATTCCACTTGAGAGTATTATGGCTGCCACTATCTGTATTAGAGGGGGAAAATGGTAGGGGTGGCCAATGATTGGCTAAGGGTGGCCATGGCCCCCCCATCTAGCTCCACCCCTGCATCAAAGTAACCTGGAGGTGAAATGTTTCCTCCCCCAAAGGGACACTAATCCCAGATTTCTAATTTATTTATATGATTTCTTTCTTTTATTCAGTCTGAAGCAAAGGAAATTTTGTCCATCAGCAAAACAAGAAGCTAAAGACCTGTAATGTTTTCCCTGCTCACTTCCTCTGCGGTTTAACAACTTCCTGGTTGCCTTTTCCCTCAGATGAAGCCCAAATGTGGGTCAGCAGCCTGCAGGACTTATTGGATTCACATATTTTGCCTCGGTGAAATGATTACACAAGTGAGCAGTCAAAGGTCGGGAGGCAGTTAGAGAACTAAAAAAATCAAAGGTAAAACCTGCAGGCTGACAGGTCAGGGATCTCCTGTTCAATTCTGGCAGCTGAAACGCCTCATCGGGTAAATACATTTAAAGTACAAACACAGAGGAAAGATCTTTGTTAGTTTTATAGGATGGAGGAAAGAGAGGCATTGTTTTTAAATATAATCTGAAAAGTGCGGAGTGCAGTTGTTTGCCTTTCCCAGCTGAAGAAAACAAAGAAATCCTCCCCAGCAGTTCCTGCTATGCTGTTAGTCCTGCAGTCCGCTTTAACGTTCATCTTTGTTGCGTCTGGTCTGTTGTATGATGGTTCACCAATAATCCCCAATAGGGAATCTGTGCTACTATTACTCTTTGCTATCTGATAGTAATAAGTCAGTAATAACCAATATTTATAGCTGCTCAACATAAAATAGAACCAGACGGTGAAAACCAACCAGAGCTCTGCTGTTGTTTCTCTGCTCCAGTCAAACCCCCACAATCCTGAGCTGCATCACTACACAACCAACAGGTACCCTCCTCTCCTCCTCCTGGAACAAACAGCAGCTGGATGCAGAGGTGGATGGAGTCACCCACAAATTGTTTTCAAGTAGGAGTACCACCAAGGGCGGATTTAGGACATTTGGGGCCCTAGGCAAAGACAGGCATGGGGCCCTTTGAAATGGAATGACAACACATAAAACAGACCCATTATACAGATACAGAATATTTTATAGAATTGACATAGATTATTTGTTTTACCTTTTGTCCCTCTCCTCTAATCCCTTTTCTTGCTGTTTTTCCTCTGAATGTTTTCCTTTGTCCCCTTTTTTCATATTGGCAATGTGCTCAGTAACTTTTCATGCTGTCTCAAAAGGAATGAAAGATTTTTTTCCAAGCACTAAGCTCACTTAGCTGATTGCTGCTTCCTGCATTTCCAAAAAGGCGATGGCAAAAGTAAATAACACACTCCTTCTTTTCACTGTAGAAAAGCCACGATCTGCATATGTGTTCTCCATTTTTCATTTGGATAAAATAATAGCTGCATGAATCATGACAGCAGACAAGATAGAGGAGAGCAGGAGGCGGGGTTACTAATCTACGAAACCAAAGACTGGCTGATAAAAATGATTTTTAAAAAAATAGATCAAATTGATAATGTAAACACTGTTAGATTAATAACTGGAATTTTTAATGGGTTCTCCTAAGTTTTAATATGATTATAAAGTAAAAGAAAGCATTTTGCATTTTGCATATTTTTATGAGAATCAAGAACCCCTGCTCCATAAAATAAATTATTCGTAAATTTCTGTTTGTGTTTCCAATTCTTATAAACAGCTAAAGATGCACTGAAATGAAAATGAAACAATATTTACCAAGATCATTATTTTAAATATTTCCTTACCCTTCGGACACCATGAAAACCAAACAGACTATTGATATTTGTTCTCTGTTTCAGTTAAACACACACAAACCTAACTAAGCTTTATCTGCTACTAGAGATAAATGCATGCATGAGTTTTTCTAGATCCTGATGGACATTAGTCCTTTAATGTTGTTCAGGTGATAAAAGGCTTATTTAGTAACTGCCTTAATGAGCCTCCGATGGTTCAGATCTGAGTCCATCATTATACCAAGATTTCAGCCATAATTTTCTAGCTGGAGTAGCTGAAGCTGGGATCCAACTCTGTAACTCTCCTCCTAGTAGATTTTTTTTTTTTTTTATGTAGCTGAGTAAATATAACTAGCTACTACCCACCTCAGGCTGGATGTAATAAACATTGGTTGGTTAACTGATCGGATCGATACAGATACGTTTAGAAATGACCAACATCGGACAGTTCCAAGGAGAAGCTTCCTAGAACATCCATGTTTAATGGAAAGATAAATTAAAAGATTTCTTTTTGTTTTTAAATGTCACCCTGTGGGATCAGACTACAGGAGACTGAATATAAATACATCTTAATTCTATTTGACTGGATATCAGTTCAACTGATGTCAAAATAATCTACTGTAGATCACTAAATTCAATTTAAATATGAAATGAGTCCCAGATTTATGATGGCAGCACGTTAACGCGTTTAATAGTGTTAGGAAATAAACTTTGCCTGGGCTTTAATTCCTGTTCACCGTTTCACATTTCTAAAGATTTTTATAGAAGTTAAATGAAAGATCAGAGATTCTTAAAAGCTAAAAAAAAACCTGATGACTGAATGACTTAAATGGCAGATTAAAACCAATAAATGTCTATTTGATCATATATCCAATAATTTAGCAGAAACATGTATATGTTATTTAAGTTTTCTTTT